GTGGTTCCGTGAGCTACTGCTCATACGTCTTAAAAATTACTGCAAGTTTTCAAGGAACAAACTGACCCATACTTTAAAATATGAGGCTATAAAAAAACGGCGGCTGTGGTGTACTTCTCTAGCGGACTAGAACTCCAAGTTCATAAGTGTATACGAGTCATAGATAGACTTAATCCATCGGATGATTTTCAAAAACACGAAAAGACTGCGTAGGAGACCACTTGAACTGTACAATAATGTCTATAGTGTTATGGTAGGGGTAGGTAAGAAGAAGCATGAGAAACAGAGATGAATTTGTTTAAAGAATTGAGTTGCATGAATGAAAGCATCAAATAATGGACGCGAAAATTTCTTTGGTCTCTCAATGGAAGCAAGATGGCGCAGTCATGTGAAGGCAACGTGTAAAGGGACGAAGCATTTTGAAACGAGAATGAATGACAACGAGGATTTTAGGATGGAAACAGAAGAGCTTGTTTTCAGGGATGTTGATGTGAGTGTTTGCGTTTTTCGATTGGTAAGCCTTCGAGGCTCTTCTGTGTTTTACGCCTCCGCTCCCTTTTCCGACACGGTTCACTTGGTCTGAAACTTTCTGCGCGTTTCAAATCGGTGAAGAGGCTAGTGTAGTTGGGACTTGGCTTTTCTGTCGGGTCTAACAATGGCTGTTGTGAAGCGTTAGGCTGTCCATTATGCTCTTCCGTTTTGTTCGCGATGGGACCCGCGCTCCGTAGCAAGTCCAAAATGTACTGATGTCTAGCATAAAAAAATGAGCTAGATCTATCAGAAAAAAACCTATTGTGACTGAAGGGGAAAAAAGGCTTGATCTGGGATGGCAAGTCCATCGGTTATCCAGAAGAAGATACGATCACTGGAACAAGAATTTTCGGCAAGAATGATTAGTGAGATCTATAAGATATTTTCGACTTATAATGAAAAACTACTTCTGCTTTGTAGGCATACTTTCCCTTTTCTTCCGCCGCGGATTCATTGAGTTGGTTCGAGGGCCGGTTGTCGTCCTCCTTCGACTCGCACGTTTCACCGCTCCCCTCTAAACATTGTCTCAGTGACCTTGCCCAAGGTCGGCGGACACCCGCCCCCACTTATGCGCGCTCACCGTTGTTCGAATTGGAGTTAGCAATAATTTTAAAAAATGCACCTCAGTGACCTCGTCCGAGGTCACCTAAAACTCCCATCTTAGACGCACTCACCTTCGCCCAATTTCAGCGAAAACCCCCCCAACTAACACGTGCTCGCCGTTGATCCACTAGGGGTTAGTAAAAATGTTTAAAAAATGTTAAAAGTCATGCCTAGTCAACGGAGGGAAGTTGTTTTTCATTATAAGCAATAAATATTTTTAGGCCTCACTAATCATTCCCACCGAATTCTTTTTTCCTGAAGTTTCGGATTCTGTTGAGATTCCTTGCTCATAGCTAACCGTCGCATGGTGTGAGACATGCACAGATTGGGGTGATACATGCACAGATTGTATGGCATTTACAGTTTGTAGCGATCATCCGCATGGGTACTATAATTATCAGCTTGTGTAACCACCGCTTGGGGTCTTAATTAATGCGGTGATGACTTGGCAGTTCGCATTCGAGCTATTAATTGCCGCGATTTCGTTGTTCATGTCGGATGTGGGCTTCAAATCGTACATGTACGAAAAGACCTTGGCGTGTTTATTAAGGACAACGTAAGTTTAACAACACAATGTTTCTAAGTTGCAATGCGAGCAATTTTAACTATGAGTAAGATAAGAAAATTTTTTAAACTTTAATTATGATATCTTTGGAAAGCTAAAAGGAATATTTTTACAGCTGTACCTTGAATATGCGTTACAGGCTTGGCAATAATTCAGAAGACATGGGTATTCTTCAAGGTGTATGTCAAATTGCTAGAGATGTTGTTCCTGAACTCAAACATTTGGTATCTGAGCAGTGTCTGGCTGCCTCCAATCTCTATCACCTCCACTATAGACAAGACTATAGTGGCCTAATATCAACCTCTCAGTTGCTGGGGGACTTAACCTAGATGTGAACTAGGAAAAGCTTTTTGAACTGACATCGACGATGATTTACAGCCACCCATGAAAGCTGAAAAGCATCAAATACCAGGGCAGGTGTGTCCTGTATGTGGTCGGTGTACACATATGTACAACAACTGGCAAAATATCCAGCCTGATGGCTCGATGGTTAGGGCGTTTGTCCCTAGCCGGAGAGACGCAGGTTCGAAACTCGAGTGTGGCGGCAATTTCCGTGGCTACATCGAATTCGGGTAACTGCACCTGATGACACCTAATGAGGCAGAAATACGTATTGTGCATGTCCCTTAATGTTTGCCGGTAATGCCTAAGATCAAGTAGTCTAAAAACCCCCGCAAGCCAGCTCTTTCCCTGCCTGACAATTAACGGCTCCCCCTCACCAATAATGACTGACCTCTGGTGAGCTGATTGTTCAATGGTTAGTATGCGGGTCGTGACCTGCTGAAAGTTAATTACTCTTGTTAAATGTTGACGTGACGATTGCTCTGTCATCTGGCGCCCCGGCATGGGCGGTAAAAGTGTCTACCTGCTCGCTCCGCGTGTGGCTAATTGATTTGGCCAAACTAATTCTCAACATCGAATAAGTGTAGAGGGGGTTATTTCACTTATGAATAGACTGGGAGGCCCATAAACCCCGACTCAAGTGAATGGCGAGAACTTCGGCCTCTTCAAAATTTTATGTGTGACTTGGTTTCGTCAACTGAACCAGGACTTGAGAATTGCCGTAATTGCTCTGTACTGTTGCCATGTGTTTGGCAGCCATGTGTTGCCATGTGTTCTCCGACGTAGTTGCATCGCCCGTGGCTACACTAAATATAGACCGGTCACCGGTACTTATGGAGGGAAGCGGGTGACATTAAAACAATTCTTGTTCAGCGTCTACTACCTCAACAAACATAGGCACTCGCACTTCGAAATTATTATGTCGAGCTAACTGCTGCGCGCTGCATGGATAGCAGCCACTAAAGCAGCTATATTCTACGCAGGACTGGACTGCAGTAGTTTCCTGTTAAGTGGACCAGTGTGACACTAAGTAAGGTGAGATCGGAGATGTCGTCAATGAGGCTTGCCTGCTGCGGTGCTAGTCGCAAGGTCTTGTGTTGCATGCTTGGGCGGACGGTTTTCATGCCCTCTTCTCGTTGTATTTATGTCGTCTCGTTAGATGAACGCGGTAGACATGGGAAGAGAGAGTGAGGGTGGGTAGTCAATTCGGATTCACTTTGAGCAGATTCATGCGGCACCCAGTCTTGAATCA